CCCTGCAACAAAAAAACTTTAACGATTTCTCTCTCCTCCTTTAGGTGTCACTCTATTTATTGTTCCTAGTTCAGATGATAACTTCTGGCCTGCAGATCATCTACACCCACGACGAGGTGGCGTTTGTCCAGAATTTGGTTTACTACGTGGAGCGTGCCTATCGCACGCCAGACTTTGGCATGTGGGAGAGGGGCTCCAAGTACAACAATGGCACGCCCGAGATCCATGCCTCATCCATTGGCATGGCCAAGTCCGCCTTGGAGGCCATCAACGGGTGCAACTTGTTCGGCGAGAAGGGAGCATCGTGGAGCGTTGTGTATGTAGATATCGATGCTCACAATCGCAACCGCAGTATTTTCGAGACCATGCTGCCCCGTGAGTCCAGCTCAAAGGTTTGTGGATCCAAGCATTATCGATTTCTGTTCTCACAAATTTCCTCCTGTACAGGGCGTGGATGCATCGCTGCTTCTGACCCTCTCCTTCCCAGCCTTTGCCTCACACGAAGATCGGCTGGTGGAACAGACTAAACTGAATGTGGTCAATCGGCTACGGAGCAAAATGGGCTTTAAACGCTTCACCCGCGACGGTTTCCTCAGCAAGAACGAGGACAAGACGCGTCGCTACTATCACTCCGGGGAGCTGAAAGAGTTTGAGGGCCTTGAATGCGAGTGGCCGCTCTTCTTCATAGCCATGATCATCGATGGCGTGTTCAAAAACAACAACGAACAGATCGAGGAGTTCCAAAATGATCTGCGCCGCTGTCTGCGCACTGATGCCAACGGAGATCCCGTGGTGACCATGTACTACGCACCCGATGGGGACGGCTCCTATATGCGTGCCCCCTCGCAGTCGCTGTTCCTCTGGGGCCAGTCCTTCTTCATTATAGCGCAGCTGCTCACCGCTGGCCTCCTGCACATCAATGAACTGGATCCCATTCGTCGCTACTTGCCCAGCTATAATCGTCCCAGGCGAGCAGGTCGATATTCAGCCTTTCAGGTGAGTTGGAACTGGCGAGGCGTTGGGTTATTAACGCTATGAAATATTCGTTAAATTAATTGTAAGGAGATTCCTTGAATTTCCACCATAAATTATTGTTTTGGAAACGTATTTCATGGCGTGGGGCTACTGGGCTTTCAACTACCCCAAATCGGCGGGGATTCTTGCTGCTGCCACTGATGAGTTTTGTGTGTCTGCCGTTTGTATTTGCGTTCGTTCGGGAAACTTATAGTACACGTTTTTGTTTTTACTCTATCAGTGCTTCTCCTCAGTGTGGGTTAAGTTCATAATTGGCTCTTGATATTTAATACATAATACTATCTACATTTTGTTCATTCTCTACTACTAAATACTACTGCTACCCCCCAATCTATATACCCAAACGAAATCGTACTCATAATATTGGTTCTGTAATAACAGGGCAAAGCAATCGATGATAAACACAAAGTAAGTAGATGTGTCTGCTTAATACCACTCAAAATTGTAGATAAATTCAAAATTATGTTCCACTAAATTACTCCTATGTGTATGAATAAAATATGCTTTTTAGATCAAAGAAACTTTACACCACAATTCACTTAGTTTATTTCTTGTGGCTTTTTTATGCAAATATAACACTATGTACGGCAAGGCACTACAACACAAGTCTAACACACACACAGCACACACACAAACACACCCACACACATTTATAAATATTAATTTGCCGTAATTACTATTTAAGTTTCTGTACTTTCGTTTTGTATGTATATAGCGAACAAATTCCTTTTTTGGTATCTTCTAAATCAAAAGTTTTTCTCTCTTTCCTCTTTTCGGTTTCTTTTCCCTCTCTCTATAAATATGTATTGTTTCAAAACCAAACATAAATACACGCTCTATAGGCTAAACCGGGCACTGTAAGTAATTTATCACCAGACGGTTGGGGTTCTTTACATATTTTTGAAGTTCCTAACTCTTGTGTTTTTAACCCACGATCCATAGAATGATCAAGCTTAATTTTATTACATTTTGTTTTGAAGGTGTTTACATCCACAGTGTAAACATCTTTTTATTAAAACGTAACTCGTGGCCAGCGCTGGAAAATTAAATGCCCAAAACGCAGCAGCATTGCTTGAGCTACTAATTAACTGTCCTTGTTAAATATCCATAAATTCCTCTACTTAACAATTAACATACTATATGCCCAAAGAGACCACGCATTCCTCTTATACTGGATGACAAGAAGGTAATTTGTGGTCTAGTCTCGGCCTTGCTAGGGGTCACCAATTGGCAATGTTAATTGTACTGAGATTGATTTAACTGAAGAAGAAATTAATACAATTCGATAAGAATAATGTACTTTGAAGATTGTTCTTCTATTTCCATTTTATGATAAAACTGCAATCTAAATTATTTTTGAAATTGTTTATCTGCTGTACAAAAAGTGCTAGCAGGTATCAGATCCATTTTTATTTCTTTGGCATGCAAACTCCCATATTTCCCTTGACTTGTACCTTTTGTCTTTTCTCCCACCGATCCCTTCCTTCACTTCCTGAACTCTTCCCCTTTTGTGTTTTGTTTGCATTTTGGCATTTGACTATGGAAAATTTTCCTGTAAAGTGATTAAAACCCAAGAATTATAATTGGCCTCATGCATCCTAACATTTTAATTAAATCTGATTATAATGTTGTGCGTATTCTAATCCTTTTTCCGTATCCCTTATAGGGCACTGCCACTGATCTAGTGGTGCAGATTGTCCTGATTGCTGAATCCATGCGACTGCAGGCCATGATGGCCACCTACGGAATTCAAACACAGACGCCACACGAAGTAAGTCGATTACAATCCCATCTATGAGGTAGAAACTGATTTAATTTTAATATTTTCAGGTGGAGCCTGTGCAGATCTGGAGCTCTACGGAGCTCATCAAAGTGTATCAGCATCTGGGTGTCAACAACAAAGTCGGCTTGTCGGGACGCCCCTCACGGCCCGTGGGCTCTCTTGGCACCAGCAAAGTGTATCGCATCTGCGGCATGACAGTGCTCTGCTATCCGTTGATCTTTGAGGTCTCCGACTTCTATCTGTACCGGGATATGGCGTTGCTAATCGACGACATCAAGACGGAGCTGCAGTTCGTGGGCAAGTACTGGCGGCTGTCGGGCAGGCCCACCGTGTGTCTGCTGATACGCGAAGAGCACATGCGCGACCCACAGTTCAAGGAGATGCTCGACCTGCTGGCCATGCTCAAGAAAGGCTACTGCGATGGCATGAAAGTGCGCATTGGCCGACTACAGAACCTGATCAGCAGCTCTTGCATTGAGCATCTGGACTTTATGAACCAGAGTGATCTGACGGACAACGAGAACGCTTTCTCACAGATTAACCACGAGTACATTGGCTACCAGTCGCTGACGGATGTGCCCAAAGCGTTGACCTATGTGGAGGAAAAGATTTCCGTGGCGGTAAGCGATTTTGCTTCATGCGAATAGAATTTTCTGAGTAACCATTTGGGTTCTTTCAGCACTTTGACAGCAAGCCCACTCCGGACATCATCCATGCCCTGCGAAACACCGATTCCATTTACTGTCTGTGCCAATTGTGGGGAATCCTGCTGAACCGCGAGGGTCCTAACTTCGAAGTGAATGGTCTAAACGTGAGCACAGCGCTCACCCAGCTCTATCATCGCGCTGGTTCACTTCGTTACTGGCGAGCTGTGCGCTACTGCTCCTCCCTGCTCCATCATATTGTGGACTCCATCAGCCCGTTCATCACCACTGTCCTGGTGAATGGCAAGGAACTCACAGTGGGCATCATTGGCCAAAAGGAGACGGTATTCGACAAGCCCATGACCCCGGCAGAGATTCAGAATGTTATGTACACCAGTGTCCAGCCCTACGATGTCATTCAGGCGGTGCTGCAGCAGGAGGTTGTTCTTTACTGTGGCCGTCTGATAGCCACCAATCCACCCATGTTCCGTGGCATACTTAAGATCCGCATTGGCTGGGTGCTAGAGGCCATGAGAATCTACTTGCAAATATCCGGACAGCAGAGCATCGACGTGGACAACCTGTCACCGTTCCAGGTGCGCATCCTTCTGCAGAAAGTACTTACAGTCAGCGAATGGGCTGTGGAAGAAAAGTAAGTGTGGAAACTCTGTTGAATATTTTTCGGAGACTGATCACAATTATTTGCATTACAGACTTACCACACTACAACGCCGTCAGCTGGAGGGCTGCTTGTGCCGTGTACCCAAACATTTCTATAACAAAATTTGGGAGATTCTGCAGCGCACTCCTCAGGGCATCCTGACGCAGGGCCATCACTTGCCCGCGACGCCCACACTGACCAACATGAGCCGCGGGGAGCTGACCTTCAATTTGCTGGTTGAGGAGACTCTGATTTGCATTGACCGTCCAGAAACGCGTCAGATAACTGTGGAGCTGCTGTGCATCGTGGCTACCATTCTCAATCGGTAAGTGGCAGTCATCACAATGAACTTTAGTGCCTCAATTGATCACTGATCATATCTTTTTTTAGCAATCCTGAGCTGCACTTCAAGCAAGCACTCGACTTGGATGGCATTGTGGCCGAGGCCTTTGCCATGTACTGCAAGGACAACAACATACATCATCCCCAGCCTCAGCCACAGCAGGCCAAGCACGAGGATCTAGTTACGTTCTACTCGCTGCCCTACTCAGAGACTACAGGCTACCTGGCACGCGCTGCTGTCAACAAAGTTCTTCAGGGCGGAATATTCTCTACAAACGATGAAGATGTTCAAATCGATGGCGATCGCCTGCACGACGACAACTGCAAGGTGTCCTAAGCACAGTTTTGCATATCTCCGTAACACTGACCCACCCACTAGCTCGAATTTTGTTGCTAATTCAAATCTGTTCTCCTATTTAACTCGTCTCTCTCTGTGTCCCTCGCCGTTCGCTTAGTTCTTAATTAAATGTTATGTATATTTTGTTGCAATAATGGAAATTGTTACATGGCCAAGTGTTTGAGTACTAGTTAATAGGTCAATAGCACTGGGGGTGGAAACCCGTGCAAATGTGGCAACTGGGCCTGCTCAGCACTGAGCTCGCTTTATGCAAGCCCTATCGATTGGGCCTTATGTCACGCACCCTTGGCTATAAAAGCACTTGGCCGCCTCCACGCTCGGTTGATTTCTCAATAAGTCTTCGCCGTGGAACAATATGCGCGCTCCAGAGTGGATGAGCAGCGAAATGGCACGTCTGACGTTGAAATTGGAACGGTACAAGCCTGTGGGCAGTGGCTACAATCGCATCCAGTCCATCCGTCTCTCCAAGAGCGTTACTCAAATGCTGAACAATCCGCTGCCCGTCGCGTTGGCAGCTTCCACCGCCCGATCGCCACAGGAGAGTTCCCTCCAAACGCCCCGTCAGCGCGGCGTACTTAGTCGCAGCGATTCCGAGTGGGAGGAGGTGTATCCTGCCGTCAAGTTGTGTCGCCAGCACAGCACAGAGAGTGCCAGCAGCCTGGACAGTGAGCTCAAGTTCACGCACTACCGGAATTGCTCAACGCGGATTCCCTGAAGGATAATTACAACTTTGTTTTTATTTTGCAATATTTGTGAACTTTTTACTGTGTGCTGCTATAAGAAATAAATTAAATTAGTGTTACAAAATGATACGAACAGTGTTCTTTTTGCAGCCAGAGGTGGCAGAAGCAAGCGTAAGCAGAAAGCGTGTAAATGTGCAAGTTTTTTTATTCATATTCTATGTAGCCCTTGCCATTTGGGTACATATTCTTTAAATTATTTCAATCGGAGCAGTCGGTCCTCAAAAAATATTAGGAAATAGAAGAATCGATAATTAAAAGCTCTCCCAATTATTACAATAAATTTGGATTCTTTATTTTATTTTTCATAAATATTTCTTGTATTCGTTAAGCTTATAATGAAAAATTAAACCCTAAAAAAATAGGTACACTTTGTATAGTACTACATACTATATAAGTTTAATGTTGTTCAATTCTTGGTACAAAAATTAGTTCGTTTTTTGTCGGTTTTCGGGTTTCGTCTCTAGTTTGATTTTTTAGATTCACAATTCGAATTCGATTTAATATATATAAAATAGCACATACATATTTAGTTGGCGTGTTGTATAGTTTACAATTATGTATAAGAGATTGCCTGTTAGAGAGATATCAATTTCGATTGAAAGCCTACGCGCTCTAGCATATACAATATGTACGTATTTGATATGAATTTGCCTAGTAAATGGTCGCTCAAGCAAATGATATTTTTGCGCTCAATATAAAAATATAGATGTGATGTGATATGCCTATAACTAAAGTCAACGCACTATATATGTAGATAGTATTTGCAACAGATTCATACTAGTACAATTTTACAATCTATAACAAACAGTTCAACATATACATAATATCTTTAATATTCTGTAAAGGGCACACTAAGGCAACGTAGGGATTCGAAGCGATATTTATAATTAGAAGTTATTATTGTATTATTGTTTTTTTTTTTTATCAATTTATATAAAACATTCACTGTCGGATGCTTCAATTTTGGTTAATTCTTTACACATACGGTTTCTGTAAAATGCTAAAATTCCCTGAATATGAGTTCTCGTGATTATTATTAGTTTATCCACCTTCATCTTCACTGATGTACATACACATACACACATAGTTTTGTAATAACTTAAATAAATTATTTCACTAGTATTTTCATTTGTTTAACTTACAAACAGCAACACTTTTCGCTTAAGACATTTTCCTATATGGTTTATAGGTACTTGCACATTTATGTTAAAAATAGTTGGGTGCACACTTTAGACACTTTTTTCGGTTTAACACACGGGCAGTACTTGTGACAAAAAATCGAACTATCTGTAGACCGTATAAATGGAGGTGATGTGTACTTTGTGTTTTGATTTGTGTTCCTCTCTAGCGAGCTCTATGTCTAAGTTTGTTCATATAAAAAATGTTTAAAAAAGACTATGAAACCTACGGTAACGTACATTACGTACTATATACGTAGACCAGTTCTAGATTACTTAAGCGCTTGGGTTGGGTCTATGTTATTGTAGATGCTGGTGCTGTTGGTGCTGTTGCAGCTGTTCGGACCGCCTCACGCTCATTGAGTCGGTGTCGGCATCATCGTCCACGAACTCCTCCTTGGGACGCGTCCATTTGATGAGCGTCTCGGGCGATCGGTACAGGAAGAGTAATTTGGCAAACAGATCCTCCTCCAGGGCGAACTCTAACGCCTCGCGTACCTGAAAAGTATTTTAAATTATTGTTTGTATTTGTATTATTATGATGAGTTTCTTACCAGGTATATATCTAGACACAGCTGCAATACCCTATCCACATAGGGTAGATCCTCAAACATAATCTTTCGATTCTGCCCGCCAATGAACGACTTCATGAAGCGCGAGGCCAATAACACGAATGTGGTGTACAAGCCAATGATGCTGGGGGAAGAACAATTCAAACACTTAAAAACTTATTTGTGGGCAAAAGATGTCTGTAAACTCACCCGCCGGCTGTGAGGAAACTAAATGTCGATGGGAACTTCTTGTCGTTGAAGGTATACATCACAATGCCAGAAGTGCAGTTGCTGTAGGCGAACTCCTTCAGAGTGGAATTGTAGAAGGTGTCATTGCAGAAGTCTCGTATCTCCCACCACAGGCCGTTCGTCTCCTTGTCTCGATGCATTTTGATGACTAGAGGACGGTACTCCTCGTTCTTGGGACTCAGCACAGTGACCACAGCGGCATCGCCCGAGTTGAGCACCTTGATGAATTTCGGTATCATGGCAGGCAGCACCACAACGTCCTCAGTGCTATAGGTGCCATTGGTGCTGGTGCCATTGGTGCTAGTGTCATTGCCCGTTGTTGGCTCCAAGTCGTGAGTTTCGTTCAGCATATTGATGAGCGCAGCACGTCCTTCGAAAGTCTCGTCCAGGGAGATGGCATGCTCATCGCCCACAATTTCTTTCAAACCCTTGGCGGGTGCCTTCCGTGTCAGGGTGTAGGAGAAGCGAGCCTTTAACGTATGATCTGAAACGAGTAGAAGAGACCTATTAATGTGTTCACCGCTATAATCGCTATTGATCTTACTATTTCTCAAATCATTCAGCAAACGCTGCCTATCTGGCGGTGCTATATTCCAAAGGGATGGCGAATTGCCGGCCAGCTTGACCGCCGCCACATCCGTTGCGTCGTAGCCAGTGATGAAGGTCAGTGCCTGTTTATCCTTGATATAAGCATTAGTCATCTGCGAGTACATCGTGGGATCGATCTCGAAAATGCTGTCATAGTTGTTGGTGGTATAAATGGGATCGTAGGGTCCAATGCGAATGGAGAGCGACACCTGGAAGGGCACATTGGAGGTGCCGACAGCATTGCCCAGGGCAAACAGGCACAACGGACCCCAGATGCAAATGACAATCAGCAGGACAATGGTGCCGCCCATAATCAGCTTCGAGATGGACGCCTTTTTCTGGGCGCGCATGGCTGGGAAGTCGGTCTCCGACTGCCTGGTGCAGCGTATGAGATAAATGTTCGAGAAGATATCCTCCATTTTGAGCCAGTCAAAGATGGTCATGGTGCTGTCGATGCACACCCAGTCGAGAATGGTGCGCAGCTCGTACAGGAACGGTATCTGCATGTACACCTTGAAGGCGATCATGTTGACCATCGAGAAGCCCTTGGTGAAGAAGTTCCCGAGAATACGCTTGGGGTAGCCCGACTTGATTTGATAGGAGCTCAGCAGCATGTAGAAGCACTTGATCACATAGAAGATGATCGGCGGCGCCAGCGAGTTGAAGGTACGCTCCGTCACTGCCGGCACCACGAAGAACATCCAGATGTGTATGCCAATCACCGAGAAGAAGTGGAAAATGATCTTGTTCACCAGGGCCTTGCGCAGATACAGCGCCCGATCGATGACGATGAGCAGGAACTGCACCAGCAACATGATCAGGAAAGGTATTGGCACTTTATTCTCCGCCAGATAAGTCTGCACACCCTCATCGCTTTCCGTTTGCTGTGTCTGAGGATGGAAACAGGAGAAGTTCAGTGAAGTTCGATGCCTAATCCTTTGACTTTACTCACTCCAAATGCTGTGAAGCCAAAGAGCAGCACAAAGAAGTTTATGAAATCGCAAAGGAACATCAGGGCATACACGTCTGTGGCCAGACGAGATTTATGCACCAAACTAAAGAAGAACTTGTGCAACGAGGAGGTGTACTTGGTGCGTCTGCAAATAAATGAAAGGGGTAATAGCAAACTTTGAGGTTTCTTTTGATTATTCTTACTCTAGCTGATTGATGCCCGACTTGCTGTACTCCGGGGAGCCTGGCAAGGAGACCTGGCTGACTTGCAGGCTTAACTTCTGAGCCAGATCATCGTTCAGGTGGCGGGAGTCGGGTTGGGACAGATTGTCGCTGTCATCTCGGTCATCGTTGCTTGAAGGAGAAAATAGTTTTAAAGGATTCAATAGCTCCATTAGCTGGGAACTTACTTGGCGTACATGCTGGCGGTGGGTTTGGCAAACTGCTGGTCTGTGTCCTTGTAGCCCGACTTCCACAGTCCTTGCGACTTGAGCAGGTAGCGGTGCAGGAAGAGCACCAGCAACAGCATCAAGTCATACACTGCATAGTGGGTCTTCATCTCCACGCCAAAGATCTTGGCGGCCGTCAGTGGCTGGTTGGGCAGATTGTGATAGTTGGCCCAGATTAGCTTGAACTGGAATATGCACTTGATCAGCACAATGGCCTGGGTGTAGGCTATCAGGGTGACCCAGAAGGTTTTCGTTGGACGCGGCAGGGACAAAGTGCCCCACAGAAAGACCATTATGGGCAGCGGCAAAGAGATCAAACTGGCATTGACGACCTACAAGGGGGAAAGTTGAGTAGTTGAGTGTAAGTCCAGGGTGCCAAATGATAGCCACTCACCTGATTGATGAAAACCACTATGTAGCAGATAAGATCTGTGTTGGCCAGCAGCGCATACCACGAGGAGATCAGCACCTCCACAATAATGTGATGATCCCGCTGGGCAAAGTTCTCCTCCTCCAAGTTAAAGTCCCCGGCGCTGCAAGTGCACCAGAAACATTACTACAGAGGTCTCCGTTCAGATATCTGAATATCTGTGAACTGGACTAGCAATTCGGCATGCGAGGTGCTCGGTTTTGGGACGTGTGTGCGCTGCATGCTCCACAGTGGACATGCGAGTGCATTGTGGAGTTGAACTCAATTGTGGAATGTGAACACAAAACGCTTAAACTAGAGTTAGAGTTTAAGCCAAACAACAATACATACTAGCAAATAACGCATAGGGATAGAGTTAAATCATAGCAGCAAATACAACTTTGGGGGAAGGCAGACACAGAGACAGAGTTAGATGCGGATTACAATTACCAAAAATAAAGGTTTGGTTCAGGAAAGATATACACAATTATGTATGAGCACAATGAGCTGGAGTATGAGAATGAAAGAGATACAGATACAGATAGATATACAGATACTGTTCCAGAGAAAGAGAGTTACAAACACAAACCAACACATTAATGGGGTAAAGGGTGAGGCACACCAACTCTATGGGATATTGGGGAAAACGCTTAGTTAGTGGGCAAGGACAGTACCTGTCCACCTGCTCGTAG